CCTAGCAAGATATCCATCATACTTTTGAGCCTTATAATGTAACATTAATACTATTATGATGGGTCAGTACATACAACAAGCATGGTTAACTACTGCTTTTGTTTCCTTTTTCCTGAATACCTTTAGTTTGCACTTAGATGACAAAAACCAGCACAGATTTTCAGCAACATTGCAGCATTCCATTATATTCATCTCGGTTAATGTATTCCTCATTTTACTACTCTCGCATTCTTTGAGTTAATTTTCCAAGGAACTCAATCACACCACCAGCCTCCACCAAATTTCCTCATCATAGATGTTATCACTTGAATTGCAGTTCTGCTATTTCACTATTCGTTTTGTTGGCAGGGAAGGGAGAAAAAAAGCCCTGGAACAGCTGAGTGCCGGTACTGCTGGCGACTTCTGTTTTATTTATGTTTTGTACTGAGCCATCGTGAATGATAAAGGATGTCTGGGACAGGGCTGTGGGCAATACTGTAAGTGTTATAGTTGGAAAGGTGCCAGTGTTGCATTGCTACCTATTTTTTACCATTAGCTTTCTGGAAAGAGGGATTCAAAGTCTCATTTTATTCCCTTCATCACCAGTGTCACCCTTACACTAAATTAATGAGAGCTCTTTACCAGAGATGGAGCTGGCAGGATGATCCTACAGCTTCCTTGATGTGGCAGGAGCAGAGGAACAAATCCCACAAAAAGCAGAAGCCAGCTTCTCTTGGCTCTTGAGGTGTCAAGAGTCAGGAGCATCCTCTGATGCTTTTGGCTGAAGCTGGTGTGGTGGGATTGCTTTAAGCTCAATGTCCTGAAGCTCAGTAGAAAACAGTGCACTCGATCCTGAGGATATGGCAAAAGCAGCAGTCTGTGCTTTCTGCTCAGCTGTATGGGGACTACTGTCTAAGGCTGTAATTAGAAGATATACCTACTAATGAATTGGCATAATCCCCTGCTGTGTTTGGAGTCTGCTTTGGGATCTTTTTTCCTACACTTACAGAGGAGGTTGACCTTGTTAAATACTTAGCAATAAAAATATGTTTTCCCTTGCCTGTTTTACAGCCTTTCTTCGGGCTCTACCAGTAGAGCTCCTGTGTCTTAGTCAAGCATGTTTACTCAAGTTTAGTTATAGGGAAAAAGGAAAGTTACGAGGCTATATATGAACATGTTATGTGTGCCTGAACATGTTGTACATGTCTGTGAGGATGCACACACGTGGAATTTTGATTTCTTAACAGCTGCAAAGCAGTAAAACGAAATGATATTGAAGCAAAGACGTAAGTTTTCAATTATTTTTATGCCACCAGACTCTTTAAATATTTAATCTTTTCTATGCCCAACTAATTTCTTCAATTGCAGTTAGGTGAATTATAATGAATTTTTGATGAGACAAACTAACATTAATTTGAGTTATCTACCATAGTGTAATATTTGCTTGCAGATATGTTGTTCAGCTTCTGGATACCTCTTTTTGCCCTGTATAAAGTTCTAAATGCTCACCAGTATTGTTATATCTAGCCACAGGGTCCAAGCTGCTCCTTAGGCTGTATGAGAGCCAGATATAAAGATGACCATGGTGGTCAGCTAAGGTCCAACCACCTCCTGTCTCACCCTAACAGAGATCAATAGCTGGTGCATAAAGGAAAGTATGGAAACAGGACAAAGGTATAGCAAGGCTTCCTGTGAGAGTGACTCCCAGCCTTCATTGATTTGTGGTCTGGGAACATCTCAAGATAGAAATGATGTCTTCAAGTTTAATATTTGATCTGATTTGTTACATCTAAAGTATATAGTTATTTTGTATAATTCATGCCTTCTGTCAGTAAAGGACTAAGACTCCTCCAAGGGAAATGCTCTCTTTTTACTGGAAAAATGTCTTGTCTGCCTTTTCTGATTAATGAGAACATCTATATGCCTGCTTTTGTGACTTGAAGACTGAACTGATACCACTCAACTATGTTAATTTAGGAATGCACCCGAATATTCAATCCAGGGCTCCAGAAACTGAATGTAAAAATCTGAAGTGGTGGGATGAAAGTAATCCATAGTTTGCCGGCAGCTACCTCCACACATCAGATCAAAGCAGAATGGGGGGAGCACAAGATTTTTGAATCAAAACTAGCTGAAATAGTGGGATGTCTAATATATGGGGAATTTCTGTAAGTTCAGACTTGCTTTTGTGTCAGCTTCTGTAGCAGCTGCAGACTGAAATGAAGGGCATTTCATCAGGGATGCTGGTGCCTGCCTCTCTCTGCCACCATAGGATGGTTCTGGGGCTCTGAGGCTCCAGCAGACCACCATCAGCCCAGGCTTCTTCATCCCTCAGGGTACCTGCTCACTAGAGGTACCCAAAGTCGAGAAGATCTGAGGAGCTCTATGATGGGCTCTCCAGGTTCCTCAACTGTGAGAAGGAAACCAGCTGCCTGCTAGGACGCTGAGTCCAAGGCAGTAGTAGCTTACTGAATGTAAAGGTTTTTTTTCTGCAAAATCATGCAGTTTTGGACAACAGGACTGGAATGTGTTCTTTTTTTTTTTCCCCCCCTATTTTCCCCTGAAGGGTTCTGAGCCAACACAAATCATAGCTCAGTGTTCATGCATTATTTTTTAGTAGCCTTGTACCTTACTATGTTGCTGCTCTGTATTTGTGATGCACATCATCAGAGCTTGAAGCAAGCATGTTGCACTCAGGCTGGAGCATCTGCACCTTGTTCTTCGTGGGAATCCTGGCAACAGATTTCTTTCTGTTATGTTGCACCATCTCTCTTGCATCAGAGAGGTGGGAGTGCTGCAGTCATTGCATGGTGTCACGACCAAAGCTCCATATCTACACATCCTGTTACATGCCATCTTCCTGCATGTTCATAGCAGTCTGCATCAGGCAACTTCTTGGCTTGTTTTCCAGTTTGCTGCTGTTGTGCTCTCATTCCCGTAATGGAAGAGGCTGGCAGTGAGGGAATCTTGCTTTTTTTGTCCTCACCAAGAGCTGGAGGTGCATGCTCCTGCCTGTATGTGCCTCCTGTAATTGATGATCCACCCAGCAATGCAGGAATTCAGACAGTACAGAAACTCTATGCACATGCATAACAGCGTATTAAGGCAACATGCCAGCTCCTTCCCAAAGAGATTTGCTTCTGATGAGCATTGGCAAGCTGTACTAAATAGGAGCTTGCAAAACCGCATCTTTTCCAACCTGAGACTAGGCTCCTGCATTCAATTTGCAATGATGATCTAGTCCTATTATTGTTACTTCTGTTTCTCAACTCAGGTGATGCGGAGTTAATGCACAAAAATGTAGCACTGATTTTCTTCATGACTCTTTTTGCATTACAATTTATGAGCAAAAAATGAAGAAGTAATTGTAACTGTGGTCTCCTGAGATAGAAATCTCTTAAAAGCTATAGAACTTGGTCTTGGTGCTACCTGCAGATTGAACTAATGCAGCATCAGCCGTTTCTACACCCGTAAGTCATTCAGCAGCCATTTCAGTTGGCAGTCTGATTTTTCACGGTTACCCTGGAAGAGGACAGGAACTGTGAAGGCCCATTTGTGACCTTTATATCTGCATTCAGAGAGGCAGAAGGTCTGAAAATGTGTACCAAGAAATGCCGGGCTGGGCTCTGCCCTTCTGGCTCCTGTTGTGGGTATCTCACAAGCTGTAGAGCCTTTAGGTGTGGTATGCAGCATAAACCACTTCTACAAGATCCAGTGAAGTAATTAGTGCTAAGTAACAGGAATATATTTGCTTGTTCTCATCCGTGTGACCATGATTGTTATGTGGACTGCTGGTAAGAATAACATATATTTCTAAAAAAAGCCTTATGATGCTAACTTTCAGTGTGGATAGTTTTATATACTGATTACTGGAATCTGGCTTCTTGCAAGCCTGAAAGCTAAATGGGTTTTCCAGATAGCTCTAACCTGTTTATGGGTTCAGGATGTTTTTGTGAAGATGCAATGGAATCCTTCCTCTTGTGTAGGAGATCTCTAAGGAACAAATGTTAGAAAAGCGTCCCTGAGCCTGTTTTAAGGACACAAACTACAAAGCATATATGTATCCAACCTAGGGAGGTTGGGTCATTCTTTTTGCTTGGTCCTTGCCTGCTCTGTGAGCCTCTGCCTGGTCTGGCTTCACAGGCTGTGTGGTCCGGGTGGGGGAAGGATGGTCTTTCAAGTGTTTTCCCATATGTCAGGGATTAGGGATGATTAGTGCAGTGATAGTGATAAATACATGTAATTCTTGGTGCTTCTCTAAGGTGTTTGGTCACTGGTAGCATCACCGCCAGGTGGTTGTCTCCATTGCTGTCTTCTCACCTGGGTGTCTGCAGTGAGGCCCCCAGCTCCGTGTTCAGTGCCAGAGTCTGACCTCTTGGAGACACCAAGCGTTTCTAGCAGTGATAAGGAGCTGGAAATTGTGGTGATGGCGAGTCCCCACCCTCCCAGAAAACCCCAGGCCACTTACCTGTCTCTGACAGTTACTTTGGAGGCTGAGCTTTGGGACCCCTTTGCTGTGTGTTGGGTTGACATCACTGCTCCCCATAAACTAACTGTATGGTCCTAATGTGATTGACTGTTTAGGAGATTAAAATTCCTTGAGTGAGAGCCATTTTAAGAGTGCAAAGCATTAAGTCTGAGGTGATGTCTTTGCTTTTAATGCAGAAGCCCTGTTATTCTGCAGAAATACCATAATGAATTAAAGTATTCCCTATGGAGAAGTATATAACTTGCTTTTTTATTGTGATATCAGACTGGAATAAAAAGCAGCCTGGCTGGCATTCATTTCTTGGTGTAGGGACACTATTAAAGTACTGTAAAGCAAGAACAGCTTTGCACCATAGTTCTTGAATTCAAAGATTGCCCTCTGAAGGTGCCACACATGATGGATTGTCACAGACTCTTTGTCCTGCCTTGACATTTCATTCCTATCTGATGTTGTCTTGTGTTCTGCTCTGAATCTGCCAAACAACTGACCCTAGAATTTAATGCCACACCTTCTCTTCCCTTTTTCTGAACAGCATCGTTCACAGCTGAGGCTCTGAAATACTTGAGGACACTGCATCTTCCTCAGGGATACAGACAAGGGGGAGCTGGATCCTCTGGGGAGCTCAGAAAGGAATTGTGGTTGGCGGTCGCCTGAGGAACTTACCTTCACGCCAATGTTGCTCTGAAACGAGTTGTGTTCAACGTTCAGGTTTGGTAAGGTACGTTATTTCCCCCTTGCTCTTCTCTTTTTACACTTTTCTGAATGTATACGTATGGGGAAAATAGAAAATTGGGAGCCTTCATGTTTATTGTTGTATAGGTGCCACGCTCATACCGCCTCTGCAAATAACTTTTGCTTTCCCTGAATTTGAAGTGCATTCATCAAGATTGAAGTGGTTTTAATGTCTTGGGCTTGAGGGGGGTGCATGTTGATATCAAGTGCTTTATTGAACTAAATGCTTGATGATGGTTGTGATATACTGATGGTGATGTATGCTAGGTGATAGGCAACCGCAATTTGTAAGTCACACTTGTGTTTCATGAATGCGTGCAGTTCAGAGGGTCAGAGATGGAAAAAAGAAATGATGCTGAAGTAGCCCATTTGTAATACAGCCCTGTGCTTTCCTTTGTGCTTCATAGATTCTCATTGTTTGCCAAGGATGGAAACAGCACCAATTTCTGACATAATTGTATGTGCCTCCTTTGTTGTGTAGCACTTAAAATTTATGAATGAGTGGAGGTTCTTACATCCACAAAAACATTGCCTTGGTTATGCTGTAATATGCAACTATCTTTTAATAAGAAGTTGAGGGCCAAGTCTTAAAGAATGTATTGTGAGCAAAGCTTGTGCTATGGAAGCATTTAGGGCAATACAGCCTCTGATTCTACAGCTTCTTTTATCTAGGCCAAAGTATTTTTGTGAAGGCAATGTTTACTGGTAAAAACCTAAAATTTAAAGTGTTGGTTCCCAGAGCTCAGTAGAATTCTATCAGGTGATGCTATTCTTTTTCATTTAACACATGGATATTAGGTTCTGTTATATGACTGAACCAGCAGTATAATCTTGTTGAGAGAAGTACAGGAGGAACATTAACACCTGCATTTGGTGTTAGTGGAGGTGTGTGTGTGGGGGGGAGTCAGGGCTTTCTTAGAAGTCTCTCAGAAGCTGTAAGGAATCCAGGGGAGCTTGCATTCATTCATTCTGCTTTTGATCTGGGTGCACCAGTAGAGTTACCTCTGGAAACTGTATGCTCAGGCTCCCACGCTTCAGCAGAGCTCTGCTGGTCTGGAGACTGCCTGTCTCCAGTGGTTGCAGAAAAACAAGTTGGCTGGAATAGCTTAAATGAGATGCTGAACTTTTAAATGTTGAGGGTCAAGAAAGGTCTGTTCCAAGCGGAGCATACGCTGTTAATTTGTACCAGCATTTCATGAAAACACTGTTGTCAGGGAAGAGAGGTTCCCATCATTAAAACTGCTGCACTGCTTGCTCCGTTTGTCTGTCTGCTCCAGTGGCACCTGGTTTCTAGAAGAGGTTATTAAATGTTGCTCCTGCTTTTGTTATCATCTTCTCTTTTGTTTATTTCCAAGCTGCTGCTCTTGTGATTATAATACCTAAAGGGGAAGGCTGTAGGAGAGGTATTTCATAATCAAGAGGGCTTTTTTGGCTCTTGCAGAGAAATATTTTGCACTATTATAATGTAGAAATTACAGGTATTTGTTTATTCCCTGTTTTTCTGCAAGATTGCTAAGTGAAAGCATGTAAATCTAAATCTTCCTTGCAGTGAGTATGTGGGTTTTGCTGCCTATGCAGGGTGCCTCAGGGCATTCAAGGATCTGCACCAGAGCAGTTGGTTGCTGGTGTGACCATGGTGCTGACCCTGCTTTGAACAGGATGGTGTTAGATGGGCTCCCCATGTCCTTCCCACCTGAGTCAATCCAGCTCTCAGTCTAAAGTTCATGTCTCAGGCTGCAGCATGAGTAGTACTCCAGTGCAGAGGTTGTGCAGGACTTTGCAGAGCCTCACGGTTTCAGAGAACAAAGAGCATTTTCATACGACTGATTTATGCAAAACTATTAGCTAGGTATTAAATTCTTGGTTGGACTTTGATTATCATTTTTTGCATTTTATTTTGTCACTGTCAGGTATAAAAACTTGGCTCTGTTTAAGCTCACATTCATGGAAACTTGATCTTTGAGATGAAAATTGTAGAAGAGAAGATTGTGCTGGAATTTAAAGAGTTGGCAAGGCTGCTGTTCATTCAAGTAGCTGAGACCCCTTTAAATCCTTTTGCTTCATTTTGGGGGCTCATGCAAACTTAACAGTGTAATTGACTACCATCAACTATATCTGCTTCCATGATGCCCTTGTAAGACAGAAGTGCTACTTATCCTCATTTTACAGACGGTAAGTAAGGAAGAGTCACTTCTAGGTCACTTCTAAGCAGTAAACATCTGTCTCTGAATCTCATGCAATCCCTAGTGCAAAAGGTGCATCTGATACCCACAGCTGGAGACACAAAGATAACTCTGGCTGAGCAGCTGAATCTGTTCGGCAAAGCATGAAATTTGGATGTGGATCCTTCTGAGGTCACTGCTCTGATCTAAGCCAGTTTCTTCCATGTGTCCTGCTCTTCCAAGCAGAGGGGGTTTTAATTAAGTGGTTACCGTAACACTAGATGACATCAGGACCCAGGTTTGTTCTGTATCTCTGCTGGAAATGGCAACGTATGTCCAAATATTGTTAACTGAACTCATTCATCTTTGCAGCAGAATGTTGTTCGCTCATGTGAGACGATCAGATTCCCTTTTAGCAGCATTTATGCAATTGTGGTGATGGTAATCTTATTGTGTAAGGAAGTATTTTAAATGGATCTGTAGATAACATGCAGAATAATTACTTTTTTCCCCTTACATTGGTCATTAGTAGATTAATAGAATATGGTTAGTAAAATTCTGCTGAAAAAGCACATTTGGTAAATATGTAAAAAAAAAATTAGGTAGCCATTAAACATAGTTAATAAATTTTATTTTGCAAGTGGAATTGGAAAACCCTTGGTTCATTTAATGTGTTTTATGGATCTCGTAGCAATTAATTGTCTTCATTACATGGACATAAATCCTCAGTGTAATTCACCTTTTTTAGATGAATTGCTTTGGAACTTTTACCTTTGCTTCATTTAGGCTGCAGTATTATTTCTCTCTTTTAAAAGCTGAATTTCAACATCGCATTTTTCACTATTCCCACGTGTAAATCAGTTCAGGTTAACAAAATCTCTCTGTGTTACAGGGCAGTGCAGAGGTAGTGTTGCAACTCTGATGGTCTGATACTGGTGAAGCAGAGAACTTGCATGTTCAAGCCCTGCTTGATGCATAGCAGAGCAGTGAGCAGGTGTCATTTTCTCATTACCTATATTATATGGGCTGAAATCTGTCTCCCTTATGTGATTTCATTTACTGAATCAGGAGCAAACACTGATTTCATGTGCCTGTGGGTTTGTATGTCAAAATAAGACCTTAATGCAACATTCCAGTGTCTTGATGAGAGGTGCAAGTCTATTGGATGTGTCTGAAAATGTGCTAGTAAAATTGTCCTCCTATATTATTGAAGGAAAAGTTCAGCTGGAGCATCATGGGATGTCTGCTTGAGTTCCTGAAGTTAAAGTCAAAGCTGTATTTTGAAGAAAGTCTTTATTCTTCTTGATTAAATTGTGCACACTGAATAGGAGAAGAGGACAGCATTCAGGATTGCTTTTTACACACATTTTTCATCAGAGCTTGTTTGTATGAGGAACACTTATGCAAATGTTTTCTAGTGTTTCTCTGAACTATTTTGCCAGGATGAAGAAATAAAATGGCTATTAAGTTTGTATGTTTTATTGCAAGATCAGCACACTGGCTGTTAACATATCAATTCCCTTGATAAGATCTCTTCTGCAACCCTGTTCACTCAGCTTCTCCTGACAGGGCTCTTACTGAATCCATCAACCTGACACATATCAAAGCATAATTTCTGATAACAAATATATTAGTGTAAAATGAATTAAGAACCTGGTATCAACAGCAGAACTGAGTTGAATTTCTGAAAGAAAATAAACTCCAAAGCTAACATGAGATTCTTAAGATACTAATCACAGAGCAGTAATATAATAGTCCTTTACCTGTACTCTTGAAGTACTGAGAAGTCAATAGGTCTGCCTAAAATCATACAGATGGGCTTGTTGCTGGGCTGTCAGCCTGTAGCTCTGCCTTCTGGACTCTGATACAGTGAGGAACTGTAGTGTTGCTTCAGAGGCATGGTTTATTTTTTTCTTACAGGATCATAGAATGGTTTGGATTTGAAGGGACTTTAAAGATCATGTATTTCCAACCACCCTGCTACAGGTCAGGGACACCTTCCACTAGACAAGGTTGCTCAAAGCCCCATCCATCCTAGCCTTAAACACATCAGGGCATCCACAGCTTCTTTGGGCAGCCTGTGCCAGTGCTTCACCATTCTAATGGAGACCTTTCTTTTGGAGGACCAGTGACCGCCTTGTAATTACTTTTCACTCTGGCCTTTGAGAAATTTGGAGACTGAGGAGTGGAAATGCTAACTGTGAATGGAGTATCTCTTCTTTCTCTTAGAAGATGAAGCAATTTTGAGCCCCTTGTCCTCTGCAAAGTTGCTGCTTGGCAGCCCATGGGCTATGTCTTTGTCAGGGTCCAGCTGGGGTGGAAAAGGGCATGTGTTTCTTCAGGGTACAGATGTCCTGATATTACCTGGCTCAAAACCTACTTCTGAGAACACATTTCCATATCTGCTTGCAGCCTTCTCGTATCTGTCTCGCTCTCCCCATCCTGCTTTTTATCTTCTCACTTCATTTTTGCATCTCTTAGACGATAAGCAGCTTTGGGCTGGGCAGGGCTACCTTTGTACTGGTGCTGCTTTCACTGTGCCCAGGCTTGCTTGCCTCTTAGTTTTGGCTAGCGCACACTATAAAGTATTAGCTAATAATAATCATACTTTTTGCTCTGTGGCATGTCTGCTCTTTGGGTAGGTATCCACTGGCAGTTTGCAGCCTCACAGAGATGAAAAGGAGGGCAGCCAACAGTTGATGTGGAAAATTAATTATGAACTACCATCCTCCTGCCACGTAGTTAAGGCATTTCTGCTTTCCAAGCTTTACATCCAACCTCATAGAAAAAGTAGGAGAATACTGCATTTCCTTCCTCGAATAGTGGGAATGATGCCAGAACAAAGCTTAGTGGAGAATGTCACACATGGGACTGATCACTCAGGATGCTCTAGAGCCTTTACTGTTCTGCCAGCAGCTGTGACACCACCCAGATAGTAATTTTTACCTATGGTTGGACAAATGTTAGTTTAATTGTGCATCCTAGTTTATAAAAGCCTGTGTGTGCATGATAGGGAAGTCACCCATGTACCGTATGCAGTCAGGAAGCAACATTTCTTGTCTCTTTTTAGTGATGACTTGGTATCATACAGGTTCAGATGAGCTACAGCTTGTTATATTTCCATCCTTCAGGATGATGTATTTATTTCATAATGATCAAAAAAACCTAGCCTGTGTTGTAGAGGGAGGAGAGTTTGACAGGCACCGTGTAGCCTTGGGAATGTAATTACCTAAAGGAGCAGTTCTGTCACTGAACGACCTCTGTCTTAAGGATCACAGAAATAATTGCTGGAAGCCCTGGCACTGTCTGTACTTCAGGAGCCATTCTGGTCTCCTGATTGCATGCTGGGTCTTAGTAGCTTGAGATGAGCGCTGCAGAGCCAGCACAGCACAATCTGAGTGCCAAAGATGCCCTTCCTTAGGTAGCTCCATAGGATGCGTGGAAGAGCCTGGAAGAGTCTAGGATTTTTTGAAAGCCCTGACAGCTTTTGTGACTATCTGGGTCTGAGCTAAAGAATCCTAGAACCACAGGTTTGGATTGGGCGGGACTTTAAAGCTCATCCAGTTTCGACTCCTCTGCCACAGGCAGGGACGTCTTCCACTAAACCAGGTTGCTTAAAGCCTCGAAGAAATGGCCATTTGGTGTAACTTTCCTCGGTGAAGCCTTTACTTGATCTAAAGGATGTTGAAGTGTGCGATGAAAGCAGCCTTGCAAAGCCACGACAGGAACTGGTATGAAGTGCTATGGAGATACTTTGCTGTATTAACAGTTTCTCTTTAGACCAGAGGAATCCTTTAAGCTGTTCAAGTTTGCAGTTAAGGTACCAGAAGTCTCAACTTTGCACATTTTTATTATGAAATTTATTGGCAGAGTTGCTGACTATTATGATGGTTAACTGAGAGGTGATGCTTTAAGAAATACCCAGGATTTTGTAAAGGGACAAATTGCTGCCTGGTGTGGGAGTCACGGACTCAGATCATGATGATGTGGGTTCTAGTTTCCTCTTCCTGAGCTCTAATGCCTGGCTGACACAAACTTCTTTCTAGTGCTGTCATGCTGATTATTGCAGCCAGGAGACTGAAGCACTGGAAGCACAAACCTGTTGTATAAATTCTTCAGATGTGCTGCAAATAATTATGAATATATTTAATGAAGGGAAGCTGAAACATACAGAAAACATTTGGAAATAAGAGAGAATGTGTGCAGCGAAGCGTTAGCTGTGAATGGAGAGATCTTGACATTGTTTAATGGGAGCTTTCCAGCTTGTAATTTCTGCAGTGAATATATATGAACCAGCAAAAACTAGAAGGGCAGGGTAGCTGGAGGTGAATGTGAGGAGAAGAGGCTGCCTCTCACCTCTGGGAGAATAGGCACAGTGAAGTGAGCAGCATTTCTTTTGGTGCACCTAATGCTCCCACTAGACTCTGCCCCCCAGTTGCTGGGAATGGACCAGCAGAGACCCTCCTGGCAATGGCACCCTCTGACCAGAGTTCTGTCTTGTATCTCCACTGCAGCACATACTGTCTGTTGTTTTCTCTTGACAGGCAGTTGATAACAGGGAGGTTTTAGCTTTTTAGTTTGTTTTTCTTCATGTTCTGGATAGTGTAAGTAGACCCACTTATATCTCGCTACACTTGGTGCCTTTTGCCATTAGTGGCCATATGCCTTTTTGTGCACCTCAGAACCTGGCCACTGATCTTTTCGGAGATTCGCTTTTTCCCTTCTTCTCAACACTGTTGTGCTTTCCAGTCTTGATGTTGTGTGAGAAGGAACTATTTAGTTTTGCATCAGATGTTGTATAAAGACTTGGGCTGGAGGGACCAACAAGTTGATGTGTGCTCAAGCTGTGTTGTGATGATGCCATAACCTGCACAGATGGAGAAGCTGAGAACCAAAGCGTGCCAAGTAAAAACTGTAAAAGGCAATGTAAGGCTTAGTACAATACCATTACCCTGTCAGACCTCATGCCTCTGTCAGGTATTAGAGGCACTCAGCTTCTCTCGTCCTGCCCAGTGATATTCTGGAGGGTCTGGCCAGCATCCTGGGATAGATTAAAAATGAAGAGAATTCAGGAAGTTTTTTACTGACGCCTTTGCTTTTATTTATGGAATTGGATAAGAAGTGGTGCTGGCTGCCACTGCACCTGAGGGCACCTTCCAAAGCGTTAACTGAGTTTGTGACTGATGTAGGGAGGTTGCAGGTCCTTCTCTGCACTGCTGTGCTGCCCAAGGGGTGTCACCAAAACGTGGAGGACCACCTATGCTGTGCTCACATCCCGGTCTTTACTGGCTTCTCTCCTCAGATTTTAACTGCCTCTTGGTCTGTGTAGCAATGTGGCTCACCACCCTGTCACTGATGACTGCCACTGCATGGGAAGCTCACTGGGCCGCTCTTCACTTTGACAAGTCCCAGTGACCATGGTGGGACCTACCCTGAGTTAAGTGGTAGGACAGCCCTAGGGATGGATGCTCAGTTGGATAGTCTGGTACTAGAAACTGGTGTGAGTTTGGGATGAGTCCCAAAAGACTAGCAGCAGGAGCAGGCTGGGTGCAATGAGTAGCAATCTCTGTGTCTTGGGCAAGCGCCACGAATCTGCTGGGCTTGAGGACAAGCACGCTGTACTTTCTAGAAAAGAGGGACCGATTGTATGGGTATTGCTGGGAATAAGGAAGCCTCCGTGTTGGGATTTGTGTTGGTGTGTAACCACAGTCCCTTCAGCCATGAAAACCGTGTATTTCTGTTGGCTTTGATGGACCTGATCTGGGAGGATGGCCTGGGTGGGAGGATGACATTTAGCTATACATACATTGCAGTTTGCTCAGACTTATGTCTGTTGTCTCCTTTTAGGACCATTGAAAATTCCCCCACAATGCTCTTGTGAAAGGTGGTGAAACGACAGCACAAGAAGCCTTCCTCATTAGGAAGGCCTTTCGGCACCTCTGCTTGGCTCAGGAGCACAGGAAACAGGGTGAGCGCTCTGCTCACTTTCTGTCTGGGAGGAATTTCTAGTTGTTAATGATTAATTCCAACATTTTTTTGTCATGAGTACATGTGCACAGTGATGAATCTGTGGTGGGTTAGAGGTTGAGGTTGCTCAGTGCTGACAATTAGTTTGAGCCACAGGCTTTGCTTTCATTGGTATTTCCACAGCATTAACCCAGACCTTGTCAATTAAAATCCAGACACATTTTGATGAGAGACATCTTCTTTTAATGATAATTGTAATAATATCACTTTTATTCATTTTAAACCTGTCAGGCAGGCCGTGCTTCCTGGAAAATAGCTGCCCAAGTTTCACATGGCCTCAATAACTAGGAAGTATCTTTCAGTGTTTTGAGCTTACATTTCATCAACAGTAACTAAAAGCAGTCGAGGCCATAGCTGTTCATCTTTGAACATGTACCAACTTCAATCAAAGTAATTTGACTTTATCTGCTAAAATAAGTGGGTTTATTATCCTTCACTTTGGAGGCTAATAAACATTTGATAATTGCCTGAAGTTGATGATGGGGATTTATGCTATTTATTATTGGCTTTTCTAACTACTTGTCAGCATAGCTCCAGAGTATATCTTAGGCAGCTCACCTGTTCATTAGATGGAGGGGGAAGCCTGAGTGTAAAGCTTGATTAAGAAACTTCTCTGAGATGCACAAGAAGCCTGCAATAGAATAAACCCCAGAAATCCTGTGTCTGTTATAGTACATTAACTGCAGTGGGTTTTTCTTATGGTTTTATGTGTCTGTAAGTATTATATTTAGAATCGCTGTCAGGCCATAAAAATGAGCATTTAATAGTTGGAATGGGAGTGCTACATCAGATATCAATTGAAAACCCATTGTGGTTTTATTTTAGCATGGCATGAAAGATAACAGAATGAAAATCATGTTTAGTTTTGTGTGGAAAAACACTTGATTTTTCTGAGAGATGGTTTATAAGTGAAATCCTTTACAAACAACTAGGGCAGGATAGCAAAAAGCTGTATCAGGTAAGACTGTATCTAGAGATTGTAATGTGTTCGGTCTGTGCTTGTCCATATGGGTGGAAAGTGCTGCGCTTCTTTTTGTTTAGACATTTCTTGGTTTCTTTGCTAAGAAATCAATGACAGACCCTTAGCCAGATCATATAGATTTATTTTATTTGTCATCTCATTCCTTTCAAATCTAGTTTCTTCAAACAGTCAGCCCTTGTGTATTTCAAAACGTCATCAATACTATAAATGTACTACTTCTTCGGTCTTTCTCTGAGAGATGTAGAAGAAGGAACTCTGATTAATGAAAAGCACCTCTAGGTGATGCCATAATATAAATAACAATAAGCCTGCCTTATTTCTATAGCAACTGGGATAATGTCACCAGTTGTTAGTGGTTCAAAATTCAGGGCATAGCATGAGGAAATCCAGGCACAAAATACTGCATTGAAAAAGGTTGAAGAATAATAAGTGAGAAGTAAATGGACTTGTGCTGCTGTGACTGTATTCTGGAAGTTAATAGTTGTACTTTTAGTAAATACAAATAGCAATCTACCTTGCTCTGGTAGGGCTCTTTTTTTTTTTCTCCCTTTCCAGTGGCAAGCCTGTAATCTGCATTCTGGTGCATATAGAAAGTACACTGACAACATCTTAGCTTGAAGGCTGTAAATATTATCACACATTTTTCTACTGAGCCTTCATCAACTGAGCTGTATGTCTCATTACTCTCATTTTTCTGAGTGCATTTATAAGCATAAGAGATGATCAATAAAACCTGAACTACCTTTGCAAGTTAAATAGGCTTGATTTGAAACTACCAGACTTAAAGAGATTAGGATTTGCTAACACTGATTTAAGAGCAAGCAAAGTCCATTTACATGCTATTTGTTTTATACTTTTGAGGTTTGAATTGCATAGGGAAATCTGTTACATTGCATGTTTAAGCATGAAAGTTGCAGCTAACACGTTATTGAGCATGCCTTTTTGTAGGAGCTGCCTTCTTACCCTGTGTTTCACTATATCTTAACTAAAACGTAATATAATTAATAGATATGGAACCCATCTAACTGTGCAGAGTGAGGTCTCCATAAACTTTGTGCTGTATTTTCTGTCAATTGCTTTTGGTCTTTGGGAGATGTCCAAAGGGAAAAACAGAATGTAAAATTTAAAAAAAGACACAAAAGAATCATAAAATGTTCTGAAGCTGTTGAGAAGAACCGGATCCAGGCTATAAAGATAGATGTTCGTGATGTTCCTGGTGCTCAATGACAGATTTATTTTTTTTGTTATTCAGGTGGAGTTGTTTTAAAGATTTATGCCACAGAGACTTCACTGAAAATATTAGTGCATTCAAAGCGTTCAGTGTAGGCTTTGGGAAGGGATACAACTCTTCGCAGCACCCAGCTCTTTAACTGATTGGTCCCTCCTGCCGTTGAGAACAGCTTTGGAGGGGAGCTCAGTGCTGCAATTTCTTCTACTCAGCTCTTCTACCTGGCTGTGTACCTTGTGCTGGGGTGATGCAAAAGCAACCCTTTTACCATTTACTGCCGATTTTTTAATGGCTAAATTTGTGTTTAACCCTTTGGTGACAGTGTGGAAGTGGAGGCTGGAAGGGCAGTGCTCCTTTGCAGCACAGCTGTGGCTGGGCATGAGGAAGGGATGGGTTAATGCTGGACAGCGGTCTCTTATTTTCCCATCTTATGACTTTTAAACATTTAATTTAAGAACCAGAAAGCCACGTGGAATGGTCTTGTGTTATAAAAGAGAGGTTCAGTTATGCAAATTAAATATTTTATTGACTTAAAACTGGTCTGTAAGGTGTAGTAATAAGGAAGTCATTGAGGCAAATGTGCTGAAATAAAACCTTCCAGCAACGTAGCTGTGTCATGCCGATGTTATTTCTGTTACAGAAAATTGCTTTAGGATGTCTTAAATGTTTTATGGCCCTTGTTTGTCATAGCCATCCAGCTATCTGTTGGGCTAGTTTTTATTACTGTGGTATGTAGTGTGGTGCCTCTGGAGGTTCCAGCTGAGACTGGACATAGTACGTGCATTTACTCATGGTGTGTCTCAATTTCATGAGATAATTATGTGCTAGCCACTTTTCCTCTCCTCTGCGTGGTTCAGCTTTAAAGCAAGAGGTGTGTGGACTGAATAAAAGCCATCAGAAGGCACTGCTGCTCAAATGTTGATAGAGGCCTATATTGTTTTACATGGGTTTTGTGCATGTTAATTTTGACTTTAGCCTTGTGTGCATGCAGGCTCATGCTCTGTTGCAGTAGTTATTGATAAACATTATTATTAATAAGCAATTTTGTTCATGACTGGTTTTATCTGTTTTTATGACCAGTTTGAGCCCTACTACGCTAAATACTGGAGAGCGAGGTCATAAATGGCACTCTTTGGCCCAGAGTTTTCATGTTAGAAAGCAAAGTAGAGTGGGTGAACAAGATATGATTGCCAGCAAGTGTGGAGGCAACAGATGGAGCACAGCGGTGAAGATGAAGGATGTGCAGAGCTCTGTGTGTTGTGGGGCATCGGTGATCAAAACTCCTCTTTGTTGTGGTGCCTGTACAAGGCTCGCAGCAATCAGGGATTTGGTTTGCTGAGACTGACTCCTGCCTTGTTAACTACTACTTCTTGATTATTACTGCCTGTGTCCATCTGCTGCCTCTTTTTCTGTTAGAGCTGCAAATTCCTTAGGTTTCAGACAGCTTTTTTTTTCTGTGTTTGTGCAGTACCGAATTCAGTGGAGTTCTGGCCCAGGGTTAACGCTAGAAGCTGTCAGCAGTGGCCTTTACACATGAAAATAAGACATTGGGAAAACAGTTATTTTCACATTCTGATTGTCTTTATTTGCATTCCAACATCCGCTGAAGTTTTGAAACTGGAAAAGTATTTAAATAAATGAGACATGATTAAAATTATTACTATTATTGTGTACTCTGCCACGAATAGTTCCGTGCAGGAAATGTATGTGGTTGTTTATATATACATCTGTAATTGTCTGTCAGATAGATTTTATCTTACAGCCTGCTTTCCTAGGTGCTTATTCATATTTAATATAGCTCTCCCATGTAGTTGCATACATAAACACACACTTGTTTTTAACACCTGTTGGCACCCTTTAATTATATATTGACCCTGAGACTGTTGGCTTTGAGGTCTGTGCAGCCACAGGTAGCTGGATGTTAGGTATTGTTGTTCTTTCCGAAGACCTGAGCCTGCTTTGCACTGACCTGCCAGCTGAAGTTTGCCTTTCTGGCACAACGCCACAGCTAAGTGCCTTTCAGCAACTTCTCGTCTATAATCCTGAGCTGATTTCTGGGATGCAATTCACTGCTACGGTTATCATATCAAAAGGGGGGTGATTTACATTTCCTGCACGTCTCCCTGTTGCCAGCCTTGGAGAATGCTGCAGAGAGAAAGTTAATACAATTTGGTAAAATAATGAAAATGAGCCTATTTACACTGTCGCATCTTACGCCGTGGAGGAATTTGATATGACACAAAGTTGGCATTAAGTACAAATTTAGGCTGTGCACAGAGATTAATTTTGTGGGGTGTTTTGGCTCACCGCAAAAAAAAAGCAGGAAGATTGTCCCCAAAGTCTGAACGTGGGGAGAGCTGTAAGCTCGCCTTTGTGCACCTTTCCTTTTTATCTTGATTTCCCATTGTTGCCCCTTAAAGTCTCTCTCTTCTCTGGATATTCACCCAGAGGAGTACCTGCACAACATATTACTTTGTTTTTATCTGACCTGCTCAGCCCCCTGCAGTTTCTCTCTGAAAAGACATTGAGCTGTCGCACCAGCATCATTTGTACAAAGTGAAACGCTGTACGTTGCGGTATTTTAAGCACGTCCATACTGGAAATGCCACAGGAATGGCAGGGCTGCAGTGTTTGCTGCTGATTCCCATTCAGCTGCCTGTATTTGTATGCAGGAGCAGACTCGTTGGCCGCCTCACATTCATTTCCTGTATATCAATTACTTATCAGTGGT